TGAGACGGAAAATTGAATGAGTTTTTACCCTTTAAAGAAGATCTCCATTTCATTTTAAAATATGCTGTTTCCTACATTTTTAATGCTACTAACACTTAGATGTTTGCACATGTGTCTTTAATCTCTATGTATCTGATTATTACTAGTCACAGTCGGTTACACTTGGATCCTTAGTACCTGAGTATGAATATAAAGTATCAACCTGTTTTTTGAGACAGTGTCTCACATTGGTTTGGAATTCACCAAGTAGGCTAATCTGGCTGATTGGTCAGTGAGCCTCAGGGATCCACCTGTTTCTACTTCCCCAGTGCTGGGATAATAAATGTGGCCCAGCATGCCTGGCTTTTTAAATTGGGTTCTGGGGACAGAACTCAGGTCCTTATGCTTACAAGGCAAGCTCTTTATTGACTGAGCTGTCTCCCCAGCCCTGAGGCCTTTTGAAATCATGTATGCTGACTTTTAAAAATATGAAGGAAGAGCGTTTGTCTTTCTATCTGTGGCAAAACATCATTTAAAAGTTAGGTTAAATGTTTACAACTTTTGGAAAATATGTTTTATAAGATAGACAGGTGATATTCTTGCAATAATATGTTTCTTTTATTCTGATCTCATTTGTTATAAGATTCAGCATGAGTATAAAACCAGCTTTTTGGAAAAGGTTACATAAAATGTGTAAAAAATATTGAATTATATTTCAACTATTGAAATATTGAACTGTGAAAAGAAAACATTTATTATTCTTTATGTAAGAATTATGATACATAGTAAGTCAATATACTATCTGATGGTGGTTTCTAACCTTATTTGACTTATTGGCTGGTTTCATGATTGGACGTCATTTAGAAAACACATCTTGTAATTAACTTGAGAATAACATTGACAAGCAAAATATCTTTTATTTATGAACAGTTTGATAGATCTCATCTATGAGTTCCAGTGTCACTTGATTCAAAATACATTTTTATTTTTGAAATTGTTAAAAAATGTTTCATTTTCACAATTTCTTTTGAATCTTAATAACAGAACATCATAAAATATGCTTCTCTTAGTGAAGATATCAGTGAGCATCTTTTGGACTTTTTAAATATCATGAAGTTATGATAATCAACAAGTGAATATTATACCTAGTTTATTTCTTCTAGCTCCTACCCAAGTGGACTATGAACTATTTTGAGGTCAAATCTATATATTCCTAGCACATACTACACTGTCTGACACATTTAGAAGGAGCTTAGTAATTATTTCTGGGAAGAACAGATGGGGGAACCAAAATAACTAAGTTAAAGTAATCAGAAGCACTTTTACATGTGATAAGCTACTAAGGACTCCATTCCCAGGGTTCCTTTAAGAGTCACCACTCTAACAGGGCAGAACTCTTTGGCCTTCATTCACCATTTCAGGGATGCCCAAGGAGGTCCATTCCCATGCAGACATTACTCATCTTTGTCTGAAAATAGTACATAAAAAGACCATGATGGCATCCATACTTCTTTTTCTTAATCTTAGAATATACAGTTTTAAAATTGCGAATGAAGATCTTTAAGGGAAGGGGGTTTTTGAGTGTGTTTTTATTTTTTGCTTTGATTTTCATTCTATACTCATTGTCTACCATAGTGTCAACCTTGAGATGCGTGCTTAAGTTATCTCTTTGGAATGGATGAGTAACACATGGCATGACTACATGAAAGAAACTATAATATTAGCACTGTAAAGGCAGTATTAACTAGTTAATTGCAGTGGTATGCACACACGTAACAATTTAAGTTGGAATTCTAGGCTTTCATTTAGACTATCAAAACTGATAACTAGTGCTGTTGAAGTTTAGCAGCAAATGCTCATATTTCTTCTTTGCTATAGCCACACAGCCCAGTTAATGACAGTCTTTTTTTGTCAAAGAAAGACAAAATTTGTACCTAAGTGCTCTTAGAATCAGATCAATTACTGAAGCCGTATGTACCACAGCCTTGTACATCATCATTGATCAGCAATTTTTGATTTTATAATCAGACTTCTGATGTCAGCTAGGGGCTTTGAGGGGGGCTTGTTTAAAACCAAATTATCAAAAAACTTTCAAACATTTCTTTTCCTGTTCTCTTTTTGTGGATGGATTATTTTGTCTGCTTTTCCCTCTGTGTTTGTTTTGAGAATCAGGACTTTCCAGTGAGCCCATGTAGTGTTAAAAATGATCTCTAGATATTGAATTTATATTACAAAAAAGCAAAATTTCCCATTCTGCCAGAAATCTTTTCCTAGGATACATGGAAAAGCAGAATTCAGATAAACTGCACGATTAATTCATAATCACTTCTGAATAGAGAGAAAGGTTGCTTTAAGCTGTTCCTTTCTCCTCTTAGGGATTTAAGGTCAGTTTCAAGAAAAAAAATTATTCTTTCAAAGTTATCTCTCTTGATTTGTATTCCTGTAATTATCTCCTCAGGTCCTCTTCCTTTTTGGCTTGTAAACTCAGCTTAATAAATCAATTCAAGGACTAGCTATAGGCAAATATACCTATTGGAATAAATGGACAGGACAAGCAGCAAAGTAGAACAGGTTCCTGTCCTAGCCAATGACTTCATCCATGTATCAACTACTATTTTTTTTTGTCTTTTTATCAATGTATGTTTTTTATTGAATTTTTTTGTGCATTTTGTACAATACATCTTGATCATATTTAAACCTTGTCCCTTATCTGTACCCACCCCCCCATGGCCCGCCTACAGGATTTTGTGCATTCTGTCATATACGTTAGGCTATTGAGTCGTTTGTGTCCCCAGATGTCCCTTGGTGTGAATTCATCCACTGGAATGTGTTCAGCCTATCAAGCAAGCACTCCCTTAAAGAACTCTCCCTCACGCAGTAGTGATCAGCTGCCAGTAGTCCCTTGGCTAATGTTTGGGCCTCCTGCACATTTCTTCAGCTCTATGATGGTTTTATCTGGTTGAGTTTTCATAGGTCTTGTGCATGCTGACACCATTGATGTAAGTTCATATGAGCCAAGTTCTAGGAGCTGGTAGGACTCTGTTTCCTTATGGTCATGCACCAACCCTGGCTTTTATACTCTTTCTGCTCCTTCTTCCTCAATGGTCTCTGAGCCCTGGGTGGGTGAGGTTTAATGTTGGGGAACCCTGCTGTTAGGGTTACAGTTTCTCCATGTCCGGATAGCCCTGAGGGGCTCGGCGCCAAATGGAAAAACTCCCCTTTTCAGCAGGGGGCCTCCTGCTCTCTTCCTGGTTCACCTTGAAGTGCTGCCAACCACGGATGCCTGACCTTATCTGAAAACATGGCCTTTAGCATAGTTACCTGAAGTAAAAACTACCTGCAGGTTTTTTCTATATGATAATCAGGCACTGTCTGACAGTCTGGAAGACAGAAGCCCACTGCCACATGTAAATAAAGCATACTATGAGCACCTATCAACTGAGGCTTTTGCTACTTCCTCCACGCTATAAATTCTCTACTTTTCCCACTAATAAATGGAGCTGTATCACTGCCTGGAGCTGAGCTGTTCTTATTGCCTGGAGCTGTGTCATTGCTGTTTCACGTGCCTGGGACCAGCCTGTGATCAGTTTCCCTGGAAGAGCTGTCTTCCGTCAGCGCCCACTGGCCATTCTGACCCTGTTCGCCGCTTCTGCTCTCCCTGCCCTCATGGGCTGGTGGCCAATGACCCGCGAAGAAAGGGAGAGCCCCCCACAGCCGCCCTGAGCCTCCCACAGCTGGCTCCCAACAAGAGCTGCCCTGCAGTTTAATATGAGTCCTATCCAAGACACACACTAGGCAGTCTCTTATTCTCTGTACTTTGACCAGTTGTGGCTTTCTGTGTTCGTCACCCTCTGTTCCATGAGGAAGAAAAATATGGACCTTCACAAATGTATGTGTCATCCTTGTGCAGGGGCCATGTTGATGTTCTCTGTATTGTTACAATTTTAGTATGTGTGCTGCTGAGCAAGCAGTCAATTATTTTCTTTTCTTCTACAAAAAGAAATCAGAATTTTTTTCTTGACCTTAACAATGAATGTGAATTTTTCTTTATTGCTTTAATTCTCTCATTTTTTCCTTTTTAATAAAATGAAACCATTTTCTTATAGTAGACAAATATTGGAGACCAACTACACACACACACACACACACACACACACACACACACACACTCACATGCCAAATCAGGTAAAGATAAATAAATAAAGCATTAGAATTGGTTCCTTTAACTTCAACTGCCTGAAGCTACTGAAATCAGATGTTATATAAAAATAAGAAATACAAGCAGTTAAACTTGTTCTTTTCAATAATATTAAAATGTTGACTTACACCAATTTTGACTACACCAAGTTTTAAAAAAATCCCAGAACAGCTTTCCTATTTATTTATTTTTTACTTTTCATATTCAAATAAAGGAATATAAGATAGTTATTTCAATTTTAGGGGCCTACTTTGTAGTATACTTTTGAGATGCTTTCACAAAAGAGGTGGTACAGTTATTTGGTCAAGTTTATAAGCTCTGGATTCAAATGGTAGGTCTACATCGTAGCTACACCCTGCGTTTGTAACATGTGCTTTAGTTTTGTCCTTTGTAAAATGAACATCATAATATCTGCATCCTAGGGCTTTATTGGAGGAGGAAAAGGTTTCACATAATTAAAACAAATAGAACAGTGCCTAGAACAGTGAATAAGTAAGGATTTGATAAGAGTTAAGGTTCACAGTATCCTTCAGGTTGTCCTTAAGAATACTGTAGAAAATAAGTATGTGAAAAACATCACTTTACTTTTAGAAGTATTGTGACAGAGTTAACATTACCTAGAATACCTTGGGGTGTCATTTACTGGTACTAGTAGGAATTAGTGTTCTGAAATGAGATTTATGAATCCTCTTCTATAAAAATGTCTTAAATGTGGTTTTATTCTTAAAAAAAAATTAAGGAGGAGGAAATCTGCCTGGAATTAGATATTTTTGAAAAATTTACTCAAGTTTTCAGTTTTTATACTTATTTTTCTCTATTTTCCATTATTCATACCTTGGGTGAAAAGGTAAAATGTTTGCAGAGTTGTGGTTGAAGAATAAAGAAACATATTCTGCCACTGTTATTACTAACCTTACTAATTAGACAGTAATTAGCATTTATAGCTAGGACTCAATTGTCTTTTGAGTAAAACTGGTTACTACTTCACACTTGGGATGCTCAATTCTATCTTTCTTATTGGCAATGTTTACTTATAGGAATTGTATGGCTAAAAGAATTCTCAATCCAATAGCCAGAATTTAATAATGAATAAAATGAACCATGGTATGATTTAATTAACCACTACTCTGTTTATTCAATAAATATTTATTGATCTTCTGTTGTGTGGTACTTGTTCTTCTGGTAACAGAGATACAGCTGTGAATAAGCGGGCCTGATCTCAGTGTTTTCAGCACTGCAGTAGTGGGATAAAATGTCAAATGTTATGAAGGGAATAGAGGGAGAATGAAGCATGCATTCCAGGAAGAACCAACCGACTTATAGGAGGTCAGAATGGAGGTAGATCTTAAATAAATCAGCCTCGAGGAGGAAAAGGAGAGAACCAGTACACTGGGAAGTTGTAATGCTGTGGAGAGGCTGAGGGAGAAATAAGGTAAGGATACTAAGGATTTTTGTTTGAATGGAACAAAAAGGGTGAGGAGAAAGGGTGAGACATTCAAGATGGACACATATAGGGACCACAGTGGACCATATGAACAGTGTTTTGACTATCTCAAGAGCAATGGGAGATCTTTGTAGAGTTATAAGCAGAGGATAAGACCCCAGATTTGCCTTTTTAGATTTAGTTTTGCTATAGCCAGGTAGATGATGACAACAGTCACACAGACCTGCAAGTGGCTCTTTTCAGAACCCCAAGGAAAGACAGTGGTGACTGTCAAAAAATGGTATCAAATTGCAGCTGCAAAGAACATACTAGTTTCATCTGTCTTGTTTCAGGGGCTTTGTATTGTCTTGTTTTGCTCTGTTTTGTGAGACAGGGTCTTACTATATAACTCGGACTGGTCTCAAATTCTTGATCCTTTTACCTCTGCCTCTAAAGGCTGGCATTACATCTGTATGTCACCTCCACTGGCCTTCTAGGTAGACACAGTTTTCTTTGACACAAGTTCCCAAAAAGCAGCCTTTAAAAATAGTCCCCTTTTCTCTTTATTGAACAAGAGACTTGCTATATCATGCCCTTTTCTATTGCTGAAGAAGAAAGATGATTAGCTTAATTCTTTTGGCTGGGGTTTCTTACCCAACAGCTAATTCCTACCTACAAGGCACTATTCATCTTCATGTCTATTAGATTCATTTCTTGTTTCCTATTCCCATCGCCACTGCCCTAGTTTAGGCCATCATTACCTCTCACCTGGAGTGTTGCCACGACCTGCCAGCTCATCTCCCTACGCCCCCAACCTTTATTTCCTCATATTTATCTTCATATTGTGCTTCCAGCTTCCCCTGCTCAAATGTCTTTACAGGTTTATCCCTGCCTACAGGAGAAATTTTAGCCATTATTCCATTTCTACACTGACCCTCCCCATGCCCTACCCTTTAACTAAGCCAGATCATATAAGGAAATCCCAGGCCTTTTCCACCTCTGCACAGGCTTAGAGTAGTGGTTTCCTGCTCCTGAGGTCTGAACAAGTTTTCAGCATCCAGGAAAAATATGTAAAGTTTCCATGATGCTTTCTACAGTTATTTCAAACAGAAGTATTATGAATCTCTTGCCCTAAAGGCTGAGTTGTTAAACTTTTCTGTTATTGTGTTACATTGGCACATGTTTCTTATATGTTCTTAGGGCAGCGGTAGAAACTTACTCTTCTCTCTGACCTCAGTACATTGCTCAATGCCTTGAAAGTAGCAGACACCGAAAGATTTCTTTCACTGAATTGATGTCACTTTTTAATGGCATATTTTAAAATATTTATATGAAGTTATTTATTTGAAATCAAAAAATGCCTTCAGGAATAAAGTGTAATTTGTGGATTGAAATTAAAAATGTAACAATTCTTATTTTTAAACAGCATGGGAAACATATGGAGGGTAGAAATTACATTAATATTTCAGTATGGAAGGTACCTACTGGTTACATTTAAAAAGTAGAATAGGGTTTCTTCATTCATTAAATATATATTAAACATTTTTGCATGTTACATTTATTATTATAGATTGGCTTAAAAATATCTAAAAGATATCACTGTCCTACTAGAGCTAATTCTAGTCAGGGAGATAGATAAATATTTTACAAATCTTAAATTAGTCCTAGATACTGATTTGTGTAAGTCTTTAAATAGGATTCTCCATATAAAACATCTTTTAAAGTTATATACGGAGTTATAACTTTTTTATTTTCTGAAAGAAATTAAAAAGGGTGTTTAGGGACAGGGCAAAGGGACATGAGCCCTGGGAGGAGGAAGAGTGGATGGATACTATCAGTGCATAATGTATGACTGTATGAAAACATCACACTAAATCTGTATAATTGCCGTCTTAATAAAAATACACCTCTTTGTTCTTGTAAAAAATCATAATAATTTTTATTGAGAATATGTTACTAAATGTGTACATTCAACAAGCATCTGTTAGAGCACTTGTACCTGGCTCTTGACTAAGTCCTGGGCTTCATAGCCAAGTGGGAAACAGCAGACATCTAAGGAAGTAAACACAGTATTGTGTACTGAGAGTATCAAAGAAGCCAGCATCATCACACTGGCTGATTCTGTCTCTAGTGTGGGAAACATGGAGGTGGAGGGAAGGACAGCTGCACAGCTGCTCTAGGTATGGAGCAGGAGGAAAAGATATTGGTACACTGGACAAGCTCTCAAGTCTAGGAGTTTTCCTGAAACAGTACGTGAAGATTTCCTGTGGATTAAATATTAGCCACAAGTAAGAACTCAGGTCATAAGAAAGAACTAGAAAGGCAATAGGACATCAAAAGTGAAAGGCCATGTGAAGCAACTCTGAGGAGGGGGAGTCAGAGGAAAGAAAACTGTCAAGGAAATTGAGGTGATGAACTCCTAGCAATGGATAGGAATTCCAGCCACAAATGTGTTCACATGCGTGTGCACACACACACTCATATACACTCACACACACTCACATGCATGTACATACAAACACTCAGACACACACCTACACAGTCACACACACATGCATGTACATACACACACTCAGACACACTCTCTCACACACACATGCCCACTTCCACACTCAGGGAATTAACCTTAGCTCAAAGGTCACAGAGTATGTGAAGCCTGCTAGGTAGGAACTTCTTTTTCTGCTGTTCCTCCTGTCCATGCCCACCTTCATCCCTAGCTTTGTAGAAGTCAGAACTGAAGTTAGTTGGAGCAACAAAAAAATGTGGATGATTCCCCTAGGAGCATCTGAGCTTTCTTTTTCAGCTTCTAACCTGAAATAGGCTCCTGCAGGGGACAGAGAAAAGATTTAACTGTAGTGGTCAAAGATTCAATTTTTATATTGGTTTAGGTATACTAGTTTTTAAATGACCTGTTTAACAGTTAAAGTTTTTTTATTATTATTATTTTATTATACAAGCATATTTAACTGAATAAAGTTTAAATAAAATGTGATAAATAAAAATAAATGGGAAGAAGGTCATTTCACACCTATCACCCCCTCCAAGGCTCAGGGACTTTTGTGGAAGAGGTTGGCAGAAAGAATGTAAGAGCCAGAGGAAGGGGTGGAGTGTTACTTGGAAGTGTCCTCTGACCACTGTGCTGGCAAGCTATAGTCACACCTCCTTCCCATGCTTGTCAAGGAGTCAAGAGGGGAGTCAGTTACCTCTCCCACCCAGTCAGTCGACCATAGCCACATGTGGGGGAGGGGCTAAGGATATAGAAGCCAAGAGCCATGAGGTACCATGCTCGTCATTTTGTGTGGCTGTCAGGAAGTCACAGGATCTATATTTGAGTGTAGACTTTCCAGAGC